TCTTCTGCCCTGCAAGTCTACGAACCAGGAAGAGAGCTCTCACCTGACACTGAATCTTCCAGCACCTTTTTCTTGGACTTCCCAGCCTCCAGAACTGTGAGAAATATATTTCTGTTGTCTATAAGCCACCCCATATATCGCGTTCTGTTATACCAGCAGAATGGACTAAGAGAGTCAAAAAGCTAAGAGATCACTGTATTTTCCCTCACACCTGCATACACATTAACCATTGATATTGTAGAGATTTTACCTCAGGAAATTATCACTATTATATGATTTTCTACATGGAATTGTACAGATCCTGTTATAAGGAGACATAAAGAGCCAAAGCATATTAATGTCCTACCCCCAAAAATGTATAGCAAAAAACCTTTGACTTATAAAATATTAGAAGTAGAAGAGACCTTAGCAATTATCTAGACAAAGGCTGGCAAACTACCACCTGGGGTGAAATCTAGCCTGATTCCTGTTTATTTATGGACCACAAGCTAAGAATAGGTTTTACATCTTAAATGCTGAGGAAAAAAAATTTTTTTAAGTAATATACTTTCCATCACATGGAAAAATTATATAAAATTTAAATTTCAGTATCCATAAATAAAGTTTTATTAGAACACAGCCATGTCCACTCATTTAAGTATTGCCTGTGGCAGCTCCAATGGCAGAATGAGTAGGTGCGACAGAGATCTTATGACCCACAATGCCCAAAATGTTTACTATCTGGCTCTGTACAGACAAAGTCTGTCAACACCTGTTCTAGATAGCAAATGAGTTTCTTTTCTGAGAATGATCTTTAGTTTAGGGTTTGCCAGGAACCCATTTGAGAAAGATTCTGCTTGTGAGTTGGGTAAAAAAGTACACAGCATAACAGGCAATGTCCACCTCAGATTGGGGGAGATGCTCAGCATTTCCCAGTCAAAATTCTTCTACTGCATATAACCCACTATTTCTGAGTTTGTATTAAAGCTCATAGAACACGAGGTCAGTACCTCACCGAACCTCATTTCCGTTATTCCTGGTACCAAATCAGCCATCTAAGACCATCACAGTACATATTAAGAATCGTGAAGAGAACTTTTTAAAAATGCAACCCTACTCCACCCCAATACATACACAGAATTTTGATTTTATAAATTTAGGATGAAGACTAGGGAGTCCCATTTTCCAAAATGTTGAAAATTAAGTGAGGTTTATCTAGGACTATGCTATCCAATTCATTAACCACTAGGCACAAGAGGCTATCTTAATTTAAGTTAATTACAATTAAATAAAATATAAAATTTAATTTCTCAGTTGCACTAGCCATATTCCAAGTGCTTGATAATTACATGAGCCAAGTATTTTCCAAATTGAATGGCTCAGAAGAATATTACCTTCAGTGCAGAAAGTTCTATTGGACAGTGCTGATCAAGGAGATTCCAATTAATCTCAGCAGTTGACTAATCAGCTAAATCGTGAGGAAGGAAGGAAGGAAGGAAGGAAGGAAGGAAGGAAGGAAGGAAGGAAGGAAGGAAGGAAAACAATTAAGAGAAACAAGAAATTTAGGATAAAGATGGCTATCTTCATCCACTATGTAACTCTTTCATCTACTTAAGATTACTTAACAGACATATAAATTGAGACAAACCCACAAAATAATCAATGTAAGGAGGAAGACACTTTTATGTTTCATTCTTGGAGAGACTTTTATTAGACATCATGTGGGAGAGACAGGAATGAGATAAGACTGACCAATCTATGAGTCAACCAATGTAATAGAAAAGTTTGCCTGGGTAAAAGAATTTGAGTTGCTGGGGAAAGCCCATGGGCTTTAGGAAGTTTACATTAGGTGCCAGAGGCAAAAGTGAGCAATGGAGAAGTCAGTGGGTAGTCCTGATGTCCTTAAGAGAGTGCAGTGATGCTGGTACACAGACACAAGAGTGAATTGTCCTTTCCCAGGAAATGTGTGGCATTGACAGCAGGCATTGTAACAAATGCTGCTCCCTATAGTGTTTAACGAAGTTGGTCACACCAGTTAGAGAAACAGGCTCCACCAAGAGTCACAATGAATAAATCCTTGGAATAGTGCCGATGGCTGGATTTCCCTTATTGAACACTCCTTTCTGCAGTAGTCAAGAGAAAGTCTGAAGCAACAGAATAAATCACAACGAATCTAAACTTTTATTTTTCCACTCATTTGGTGTTAAGAGTAGCACAATGTATTTTATAGTTACTATCTTATGCTCCTAGTATGGAAAAAAGAAACAAAATAAAAATACGTCAACAACTACAACAGCTGTCAAGATGAGCAGAGAAATGTGATCAGATCCATGAAACAGCCAGTTGTCCAAAAGGAGAAAACCTGTGGAGGAATAAATGCTCTCACAAATCTATGGGACAGATTTGCTGCAAGAAATTAGAGGAAATCTTTAAAAATTTCTCAGACTCATATTGTGACTCTGAACAAGGCACCTATCCTAAAGGATAATTTTTGGATGAAAAGGATGATTAACAAAGGTTTGTAATGGCATGAAAGCAGAAAACACATATTGAAAATATAAAAAACTGAACCAGAGAATTACTATACTAGCTTGGCAAAATTATCCCAGGATTTAAATTTTAAAAGGAGATAAATATGGTAATCAAATATATGAGTGGCATTGATGACAAATCCAAGAAGTCAAAGACACATACAGGAGAAAACAGAGTGACTGCAGGAAAAGCAACTACTAAAGAAATAATGGAAGGATGGTTTCTTGGTGGGGGGAAGTATGGAGAGTCAAAATCCAGACAAAATAGCCTATCTAAAAATATGATGAAAGTTCTAAAAAAAATAATAATAATAATGAAGCATTAAGATGACAGGAGAAAAAGTCTGTTTACAGGAGGAAAAAATTTCAAGTTAACATCAGACTCTCCGCAACTTGAAAAATATGGAAGAGAAAGGAACAGAAGACTCTTGAGAAAAATATATTGAAACCCAAGATTGTTATAGCCAGACAGGCTATCATTCATATTTGAGAGCAATAGATATTAAAAGACATGAAAGGACTCCAAAGTGTTTACCCACATTCTTTTTCTGGGAAAAAATAACAACAACAACAACAACAAAACTTGAAAAAGTATTTCAGCTGACTGAAGAATGAATCAAACTACAAACCTAAGTAATGAGGATTATGTGTAATAAAAGAAAGTATGGTAAATAATTAAAACCAATTGGCATTAGATTAGATCATGTTGTAAAAGAAAGGGTAATGACTTATTAAAACAAAAGAATCAATATTTAAATCACTGTTTTTAATGTAGTAAGATTAAATGAATAGAAAAAATGTAAGTAATTCTTCCAAAAGAAACTTAAAATGTTTAAAAAATGATAATATTCTGAATACGAAGTCCCAAATTACACCAGCAAAATCTTAGAGTAGGAGTGTGAATAATTGCTTGCAAAATCTTTCGTTTTATGTGTGTGGGGGGAATTCTCAAATTCATATATTTTATTTTTGAAGTGATAAATATGTATATAGATAGAGTTAAATACAGATATATAAAGGTATTTTAAATGTAAATTAACCATTAGTAGGAAAAATAGGATGCATGATTTCCAAATTATAAGAAGTAAAAGAAACAAAGAAAACTTGGATACATAGAAAACAAATCTGAAAAGATAGAAATAAAATAGAAAATATCAAGAAAGCAAAAAAAAGTTTTTAGTGAATGATTAAAATAAAACTGAAAATTATGCATTAATTAACATGGTTAAAATTTGATGGATTTCTTCAATCCTCAGGCCCCTTACCAAAAACTAAATACAATGACCTTCTTCCCTTAATTCTTTAGCAACAATTTGTCTTTACTTTAAATTTGATACACTTTATATTTATTTTCATTTGGAAAGCTTCTTAAAGGTAACAGAAATACATCACCATTCCACAGTTCTCCATAATTCTAGTTTCATTGCCCTTGATGTTACCAGCAGCAGCCAAAAAGCCACAGATATTTTAGGGAGGAGTTTTCTGATTTCATTTCTTTTTTATTTTGAAGTTTGTGATGACCTTTTAGCTTCGGTCCCAATCTCTCTTTGTAAACTTCTACTTGTCCTACTTATTTCTAAAGGGTACAATGTAAGGGATGCTGAATATATGTTTGTTTAGATATATCAGCCATTCATTTGTCAAAATTTTGCCTGGGATTGGGGATGAAATCCAGCCCTCAAGGAATTTAGAGACTGTCCAAAGTAATATTCCAAGCTATCATTTAAGACCCTGTAGCACCTTTGTGAGCTCATATCTCCCCCCAAATGGGTGGTATGGGTGCCTCATTCCTGTGCATTTACCTATTTTTATTTTTTGTAGAGATGAGGGTCTCACTATGTTGCCTGGTCTGGTCTCAAACTCCTGGCTTCAAGCCACCCTTCTACCTCAGCTTCCCAAAGTGCTGGGATTACAGATATGAGCCACTGCACCAGCCTCTCCAATCATCTTAAACTCTTCTGTCTTCCCACTGTTTGATATTCTATTTGCTCCACTTGGTGTGTCTCTTTACTTCCCTCATGGTGGTCACGCTGATTTTTTTTTTTTTACAATTTTAACAATAGATAAATTTTTAGTTTCTTGGAGTCATTTCGGTGACTGACCTTAAATAGCAACCCCTCAAACCAACATTCTTGAGATTTTGTTTCCATTCAAACATCACCACCATGAATGATATCTAACTCTTCCTGAATTTTTGCTTCATTCCCTTTCGGTCCGAAGTCTCTGGAGTGAGCTTTTGATGGGGGGTTGCTTGCTCTTAGCTTACCTGCCAAGGCACAGAGAGAGGGGCTGTCAGATTTAACTTCTGGTTGGCTTCTTTTCAAATAGAGTTTGGATGATGAAAGGCAGCAACTGTTTTCAACAGTGCACATACAAATGTCTTCATGTGAATGCTTTACATGTATGTGTTTGGGGACTACGTGTATGAATATAGAATATTACAAATACATTTATTGCTATTTAAACTCTCTCAAATTCCTGTTTCTTAAGGATTAAAAGAAGAGTTGAGTTTGTACATTTCATACCGTGTTCTACAGATGCCAAGATTTTTCATGGAAGTGGCAAGAAAATGAGTCAACCTCTGCCCACCTCCATGGGAATTGCTGGAGGACAGTTAGTTAGGTCTCTGGCTCCCCCATCACCACCAACTCAGTGTGTCCAGGTATGCTTTCATTTGTTTCCTCAGCTTTTATTCAAAGAAAGTGCTCTGCAACTCGAAATCTTTGAATGTCACGGCAATAGATCCTTGATTCTCAATGAACTGCAGTATCAATTCACCTGGGAACTTGTTAGAACTATAGAGATTTGTCCCACCCTAGACGTTCCAAATCAGAATCTTCATTTTATCAAGATCACTAGACGACTGATTGAAAATTAAAGTACTCAATTGTACTCAATGATCCCTAAAGTCACTTTCAGATAGTGTTGTGATTTTATACACATACATACAATATATATTTTCCATCTCCTTATTTTGCATTTTCCCCCCTACGCACTTGGTTCAGAGAAAAATAAATCCATCAGAGATATACATAAAAAGATTTTTGGTTGAATGTGGATATGAATATTTGAATTGAATTAGGTTCCAACTTTATTTCATTTCTGGTGATGGTAACTATGGCAGATGAATGTTATCTGGCCTTGTTTCATTGTAGATTTAAAGGGTAACTTTCAAGTGCTCCTATGAGAAAAGCATATAACTCCAAATACCTCACAATTAATGAAAAAGAAAAAGAGTCTTCCAAAGATAGTCCAAAGAAGATTGGGAGAGTAAAACAGAATCGTGTTATAAATATTGATAATGATAAAATCAAGAGAAGACGATAAGCTCTTATATTTGTAGGATGTTTTAGGGTTCACCAAGCATTTGTATATTCAACAACTTGTTGAAGTCATTATAGCATTCCACGGAGGGAGGCACAGTAGGTATTTTCCACATATTTAAATAAGGCCTGAACCTGGAATCTATCAGAACTGGCATATTGATCTGTCCTGAAGGTAGTCTCTGACTTTATTCTAATTTCATGTTAACACAATGTTATCCAAGCACAAACAGGCCACAGAGAAGGATGTTTTTAGTATGCTCACAGTATCTGAGGTTAACATTTTTCTAGTGGCAGAAATGTCTCCTTTTGGTTTCCATTTTACTTATGCTTCTCTATGATGCTTTTCTAACCTTTTAATTTTTTCATTCCACATTTTCTCACCAGGTTCTTCCTCCCTCTCTTTAACCTCATCAGGATCTGAGAGGCCAGGTTCTGCTAATTCGCCATAGCTGGCTCAGGGTTCCAGCATCTTCCACATCATCCCCTGGCCCTCGAGCAGCCTCTTCACTTCCTGTGTTCACCTGCCTCCATGTCCTCCTTGCTGGGAATCTGTGCGCTCAGCTCTCTGCTCCTTCTCCTCCTCCTCTCCACCTGGCCCCACCACTGCTCCGCCAGCCGCCCTCCTGCGCGGGATGTCGTTATGGCAACCGACAGTCAGTGGGCCCGGGAGACACCAGGCTGAGCCAAAACTGGCAGGGAGAGACATGGCGCAGCATCTGCGGGGGCCCATAAGGCCAAAGTGTTGGGCTGGCTCCCTCCTGCAGGGAAAGAGAGGGAGGCAGTGAGAGCACGCCGGTGGTGGTGGATTACCAGGAACGATTCCAGACCTGATGGGTTAGCTGCAAGACGGTCTCCAGCCAGGCCCTGGGCGAGTTCCATGTGACTTTCTGTTTTGCATGCCCCAATCCGGTCTTTTGAATCAAAATCTCGGTCCCCAGCCCTAATCTCACAACCATTAGAAGAGAGAGAAATGGAAATGATTCTAGATTCTGTGTAGAAAAGTGCAGGAAGAAAATAGCATTTGTCAGCGGTCCCCAACCTTTTTGGCACCAGGGACCAAATTGTTTTCATGGAAGACAATTTTTCCAGGACCCAGGGAGGGGGAGTGGGATGGTTTCAGGATGATTCAAGTGCATTACTTTGATTGTACACTTTATTTCTATTATTCTTACGTTGTAATATATAGTGAAATAATTATACAACTCACAGCAGGTTGGGAACCCCTGGTAATAGCTCTATTTAGTACAACATGTTACTATTACTATTAGCTTTATCCAGATTGTTAGCTCTGGTTATTGTGGAGAGGGGTAACTGTTAGTTTTATATTTTAAAATGCACATGCTAGGATTTAATAGGAGCGTTGTTCTTTGCAGCAAACAAAAACAACCATTAAAAGTGGTTGCCTCATATTTCTAAAATATCTCTAAGTCCCAAACATGATGAAGGCATTAAAGAGAACATGTCTTTGGCAATCATTCAGGGTCACTTAGAAAAGTGGAATTAAAAATAGGAATGTGAAAACTCTGCTTCTAAGCTGCAGTTTCATTGTACAGGCAATGCATGTCTATGTAATAGTAACTGAGAATATTAAAATGCTAAAGCTAGAACGGAGGCCTGTTAGTTAGTCTCTCAGTCTACAAACGGGAAGGGTGAGGCCCAGAACATGGAAGGGCCTAGCTCTGGGCCCCATAGCTTCTGCACTGCAGGGCCAGGCCAATGTGTCAGTCATAACATTTTATCATCATTTCATTCATCTTGAATTCAGCTAAGAAAGAGAAAACAAACTGAGAGAAGAATCTTTGGGTTCTCAATGTTGGGGGAAGTTTTGTGCATGTACTAAAGGCTTGTGTGCCAGTCTCATGGGCCCATCACCCTGCATGGCCCTGCAGTAGGTCATCAGTACACAGTCATAATGGCACAAATGCTGTCCCACTGGGCTTGAATTCTTAGACTCAGTTTATACACTGGCCAAGGAAGATTTAATTATGTTTATCAAACAAAGCAGAATCAAAAGTTATAAAATTTAACAACAAAAATAATAAAATGAAGGCAAATAAAGAAGAAGGGAATGCAATGTAGGAGGTCATTGTAAATAGGCTAAATTCTTCCTTTTAATTATAGAAAATCAACAAACACTGTGTTGAGTAACATCAAATCACTCAAGTCTAAGTTTATTATTTAAAAGCTATAATATTAGCCATCAGAAAAAAACACAGAAACATTTTAAAACTGGTTGTCTATTGGAGGATGAGCAAGAGGGTTTAACTTGTTTTAGACCATTTCATATGGTTTGAATTTTTAAGCATGTGTGTGTACTCCTTTAAGACTAAAACACACACTCTCATCGGTAGGGATTTGGTTGAATAAATTATTTTATGGTACAGCCATAAAATGGAATATTTGACCTCCATTGGGAAGAATAAAGCTAATTATTGTGACACAGAAATATGTCTGTGATGGAAGTATGATAGAAGATATGAAGAAATTAAGTTATAGAATCACAAATAGAGCATCATATCTTTATAAAAATATACAGCCCTATCTGTGTGTGTGTGTGTGTGCATGCACACTTAGATGTATTTCTATATTATAAAAACAGGTGTGGAAAGACACACACCAAACTTTTAGATTTGAAGAGAAAGGAACTGAGGGATAAGAATTAAAAAGAAAAAAAACAACTGCTGTATTATTTGTTTAAATAATACACATCTGTTAGATTTTATAATTCAGTATTTTATTTTAAAATATTAAAACAAAAATTATATAACTAAAAGAGAATAAGAAATAATTACAGCTTCTCTTGATGAAATGTTTCATAAATATTATTTTTATTTAAATATAGCAAAAACTCCTTTAAGTATAATATTATAAAGAGATAACATGCTTCCTAAATTATTTATTTAATGTGTTACTGAATTTTTTGGGGGGAGTGATAAAGTAGAAAAATAAGTGAATAAGGAAAACCATGCAATGATAATTCCATTTGAAAATAAACAGTAAGCCAGTTTCTTTTTTGGAAACTAATGGATTTAGAAATGGGATTATTTTGAACTTTTGGTTTAAATTCCTCTAACCTAAACACTAAATGAGATAATTATAAGATTTTCTTTTCTCCTTCCCCAGTAATCCATTTTACTATTTTACAAAGTTTAGTGAATGAAACTGAAGTCATAATCAAAGCTGTTGTGATCACCATTGTCTTCCATATTTACTAGTAGTTGGGCCAAATCCCAACTGGCTGTGCACCCTCTTTCTTTTCCCAAACCAGCTTTGAATGTCAAGCTCTTTGTTTAATTAGCTCAGTGGAGGCACAAAGAAAAATAAACAGTGAGCTGAAATTTCAGCTCTAAATTATGGAGGGTTTCATTTTTTTTCCTGATTTTGGTTCAAAGTATGACAATAAAAGCAACCTCAAGCTCCCTGAAGATATTTAGCTGAAGACTAGCAAAGGAATAGACCATTTTGTACAAAAATTACTCTGCTGTACCCCTAACATTTTACAATATTCCCTCCATATATTTCTTAAATTTGAAAAAAATTAAGTTATACTAATTTTTCTAATTTACAATATATGATTTAGATGACAATCCCTTCAAATGATATGAGACCTCAGGCATGTAGGATGTGCTCATTAGCAATTGTTTGCCTTGTTAGTTTTATTGTTTGCTTCTATTTGTATTTAAATATATTTCTGTTTATCTTTTGGATAGTGAAATGTCCTTGGAATTAAAAAGTAGAAAAACATTTTCTGTTTTCTGCATATGAAAGCAGAAAATAACAAAATATGATTTGCTATACTTTCCCATGTCTAAATGTATTAATTCCTGTTTTAAAAAGAAAGTAAAGCAACAATTTATAGTCAAATTGTGCAAAATGAATTGTCGAACAAATTCTCATAGATGAGGAAAAAGTAATTTGTTGTGCTACCAATATTTTCTTAAAACATCCCTTTCCAGAAGAAATTACTCAGAATGGGATAAATATTTTAATTTCCTTCACTTTGGGGGTTATGGAAAGATAAAGAAGAGGACTCAGTATTTATTTTCTCCTTTTCTGCCTTGTATAGACATAGTGAAGTTGTGGTGCTTGCCTGACATCTCCTAATATATGTAATTGTTTACATTTTATCTTTGTCCTCTAAATGTCAAGTCTTAGTCTTTCCTAGTATATAGATCAGCCAATTCTGTGGTTGTATAGCTAGGGGCCTTTTATAGTTTCACGCAAATTATCACGAAACCACAGGTTTCCGCAAATGTCTGGGATAACGTCTAACTTTGATGGTTTGGAGACTCCACTAGAAGATGTTAGCACTTCCTTCAATAATGGCAACAACATTTCCTAATCCCAGTTATTTCCTCACCTTGTCCCCTCACCTACCCAAGTACACACCATCACAGCTGTCCCAGTGAGATGCTCATACAAACCTCCTTAACAGTGAATTCCCCAGAATGGAAGCAGAAAACACACTCTGTTTCATTTCTGAAAGAAGTAGAAGTAAGATGATACAATTCTTCATCTGCATCTGTGCATCAGAATGTCTTTACAAAAGCTGTTTAAAAAAAAATAAAAAGTGGAAGAGGAAGGCAACGTAGGTCTTAAATTTTCATTTTAAGCATATATTCACACAACTTCTTCCTTCTATCCCAGAGTCGACCTGTCTCCTTGTTTCATAAGGGGACTTGGGCTAGACCAATTTTTTCCCCCTTTCTCACAGGATTTCCTCTCATTTGAGTTGATTTCCCTCTAGTATAAGAATATTTTTGAGAAAGTATTAATATTTGCCACTCGTGAATTAGGGAGTGCGTAATATGTTATGTTGTGATACGTGAAATGAAAAATCTTCAATTTCTGAAGATTTCTCTATAAGTTTTATCCAAAGTATTTGGAGGATACAAGTTTATTCTGAGTACAGTCTGTCCCTCAGTATCCGCCAAGGATTGGTTCCAGGACACCCCACCTCCACCCCTGTAGGTACCAAAATCCAGGGACGTTCAAGTCCTTGACATAAAATGGTGTAGTTAGTTAGTATTTGCTTATACTACCAACATCCCGCCATATACTTCATATCATATCTAGATTACTTTTAATACCTAATACAATGTAAATGCTATGTAAATAGGTGTTTTACTCCATTTTGTTATTTGTATTATTTTTTTATTGTTTTTCCCTCCAAATATTTTCAATCCACAATTGATTGAGTCCTTGGAAACAGAACCTGAAAATACAGAGAACCAACCATTTTATGAGTATAGTGGATTTTTTGTTTCCCCTCTGTCTTACTTAAGCACTTTTTTCTAATATAAAATTAATATGTGACCAGTGTGCACAGTCTGAAAATAGAGATGTATTTTGAAATGAAATGAAAACAGTAATTACTCCTTATCCCACCTAAAGGGGAGAATGTCTGTTAACATTTTCCCATAGTTTCATCACTTCTTATCTATATATTATTTACGTCAAGTCTTTTATCTATACATTATTTAGCTGACATCATATACATAACTATTTATAATGTGCTGTGACCCACATGACATTTCAAATTATTAAAAACTTGAATTTATTAATTTATTAAAAAAGAAAAATTATCAAACAAAAAAGCATTTCATAGAAATGTGATATTCTTAAAAAAAAATATGAAAAATACTACCTGAGGTAACTCTTATCATTTTAGTATATTTTCTTTCACTTTGTCTTGAATATATTGTCCTTTTATATAGTTGCTATGATTTTATATCCTTCCTTATATATTCTTTTTATTTTTGCTGTATATTATAGAATTTTCCCATATTGTGTGAAAATGTTACATTAAAAATGTCTTCATAAGCATTGTTAATGGCTGCATCATGGCATGGCATAATTTAGTAGATTATTTGGAACTTAATTTTTTAATAGTTCGTGGTGTTTGCTTGCAAGTAAACTTTGAGAAGATTTACTTCATTTTCCTTTTTAAAATGGGAATGTTTTAGGAAGCAAATGAGTAAAGGGTATGCCAGGTACCTCACAATGCAGGGTGAGCTCTGGGGCAGGGCCAGGCAGCCATGTGTAAAGGGAGGACAGCTGGGGCGAGTGC